ATAAGACGAAGTGGTTTATCGCTGATAATCCTTTGCTGTTAAAAGTCGACAGCTAAACCTCGATATTTTTGTGGTGTCAGCGAACATTCGTTCCACGTTTGTGATGTCAACGAATACTCATTGTTACTTTCGTAATACACGCTGTAGAAGAGACTTTGTAATCGCAGATACAACTAGAGTAACGCCGTTGAACAATACTGGTGTCAGACGCCTTCGAATAACACTTGCACTAATAGTACTTGCACGATAATACTCGCTCGGAAAGTAACCACCGAATAGTGATCCGTATAGTGAGATATTCACTAACCGCCCCACACGATCGGATGTGACACAAGGCCAAGTTTATTGTGGGATATCCAAACCCGTGGGCTCGGGCAAAAATTCCCCGTAGACCCCGTCAAAATGGGGTCCGGTAGCTGTCTACCATCCCAGACTGGACACTGCCCTTCGGCATAGCCTCGTCTGGGTTCCTCTGTATAAAGAGGCAGAGAGTTTGACAAGCGAAGTAATCCATATAGTGATCCATTAGACGCCACGCTAATTCCCATGTATACATTTCCTGTGTTTGCTCTCTGGTGATCTGTGTTCAAACTCCAGTGTCGGCAGAGACACTTTATTCCTATATAACAGAAATAGATAATATTTTGAAGGATTTCATAAGAGGAAAGTGACAGCACCGACAATCGTCAGAATTACAAAGTTATTATTGAGCCCCAATTCAAATTAAAGATATTTTTATTCAGATAGAAGAGACAGATATACCAATATTCATTGAACAGATTCTTTTATTCACTATAAAGTATATACCTCCACTTATTCGTTAAAAAATGAGCATATCATAATGAAAAAATATCTAATAGTTAATAAAAACAATGTTTTATCGTCAAAAACGTTTATGTTATTATAAAGTTTGGTTTGTTTTGGTTTGTTTTTACGGCATCTCAACACCTCAATATGTTTTTTAATGCCGACAAGATTTTTATTACTGGTAATATTTTTTCCAAAAATGTATTGCTGGTAATATTTTTTTTCCTTAAAAATATATTGCTTGTAATAATTTTTCCTTCGAAAAATATATTTCTTGTATTAAAACCTATTTTACAGTTTCATAGTGTTTTAAACACAGTTTGGGGAGTTAACTATTTGCACATAGTTGGGACCCTAACAAGTGCTACCACCCAGGGTCAGGGTGGATCTGGGGACAGCAGCCATTAAGAGGTGGTTTCACCCTCCTCAAAACCTCTTGATCAGAGGCCTTGCTGTTGGATGTAGTTTATCGTCTTACCCAGGACGGTTATTATTAAGAGAAATAACCACAGTATTTTTTTTAATTATTAAACTATAATTTTTAATCCTTCATAATTTTGGTTTTCCTGCGTCAGCGGGTGACCATAAATTCTTATGGGAAATTTTGATGTTTTTTTGGGGGTTTTTTTTCGGTGATAAAAACATTAATTTGAGAATTCTTGCAAAAATCAGATAATTGTAAAAAAGAAAATAATATTTTGACTTATTCTGAAAAGGACAACAAAAAATGCAACATATAGAACCACCATTAGAAATATGAAATAAGTGTAAAATAAACGTAATCTTTATATCACTTAAAGAAGAGACCGGTAAGTCCCCTGTCCTCAAAGCAGAACAGGTGAATTCAGACTTTACAATCAAAAGGAAATTCATTTCTATATCCTTCATAATAATATAATAATTATTAACAAAAATAAAAAAAATTGTCATTATTTGACATTACGCAGTTACCTCCATGAAATCGCTAAAAAAAAACAGCATGTCGCGATGAAAACATGACCTAAACGTAATGAAAACATAATTTTATGGTTAAAATCTTTATGTTATTATTAAGAGGAAAGATGGAAGTATTTTTTTGATTATTTAATGAAATTTTTCCCTCCTTTTTTTAGAACATTCAAAATTTTGATGAAAAAAAACATGCATCAGCGGTTGTACTTTTAGCAAAGCAAATTTATCCTCTATTTTGTGGTGAGAGAAAAACATTCTGATTTGGAAATTCTTGCAAAAATCAGATAATTGTCGGATTTTAATGAAATTTTCAAAACTTATTCACAAATAAATTAAATTATTTTAGAATCGTTTTTTGAAAATCTTGATAGAAATTTATTTTTTTAAATCTCTTAATCGCCACTTAATTTCAAGAAATTTCGAGAAATTCATTTTTGTAGCGTTTAATGTTTATATTAGGTATAAGCACAAGTCCCTGGAGAAATTAAATTATCAATTTTTCTTTAGTAAAACAGAAACCCCACTTACAGAAAAATCTGCTTTGAATCGTAAATTAAAAAATGCAATAAACTAAGACATTATTTAATTAGAAAAGCTTTTAATTGTTTTTACGAATAAGATATGGAGATTATTATCTTGAGAAAAATTTTTTCGATGAATAAGGAATTTTTACAAGAATTGTTTTCATTTTTAAAATTCTGTATTAATTTGTAGCGGTTAGATATTTGTATTAAGTAAAATCTATATTTAATAAAGATAAGTAAAAACTAATGAAAAAGCTTACTACAATTCAGCGACCCCAATATTTTAAAAAGAATTTAGATATTTTTTATGTGTATAAACGTACCAAATTTTGTGAATATAGATGTCCACACACGACATTATCAAAAATAAAAACAGTAAGTATAATAAATTTTAAATTTATTGGTAATTTTCAAACATTTCCTTAACAAGTGTCTTTATAAGTAAGACTCTAAAGTCAAAGTACCTAAAGTCCAATAAAATATTAGTCTACTTAGAATACTTTTCTAAATTTTAAATATTACTGGATACTTAAAAAAATATACAAGTGAATCTGTACAGAACCCACGTAGATACGTGAAGTGATTCACATCGTCAATCCTGGGGGTTGTGAGATGTCATATCTCACCCTACGTCTTTTCACAGGTCATCAACGATAGTGGGCAATCCCTGGGTCAAGGGGATAGCCTTAAGTGTTCTAGTAGGATTCGACCCCTTTTCACATGGACTACGTGACGCAGGAGCGGCTAACCCAAAATTTATCCGGTCATTTTCACCTAATTTTCTCGATTTTAATCCCATAAACTACGACGTCTGGGGCGTGTCCGAGGGGAAGATCAACCAGAGGTCCCACAATAACAATGATTCATTCAAGGCCACCCTCATGGAGGTGATAGACAATTTTTCCGGCTTTTGGGTTTTGGTAACGTTGTCACGGGATTAACTGTTTCCAGTCTAAAAGAATCTTTGAATTGAAAATTTAGTTAACGTGTCTAATAAATATATATATATATATATATATATATATATATATATATATATATATATATATATATATATATAAAAGGTTAATGATCTGCCAACAGGAAAAATTAGCAATTATGACATTTCCAGATCCAAAGAACCTTTTAAACCAGAAATCCGAAGTCTTACTTATTTTTGAAAATGATTATGTAGTGGTCATTTGTTTAAAAAATAAAAATAAAATAAAGCGTTAAAAGGAGATTTGATAAAAATCGCCTAAAAACCAAGGTAGCGGATTCAACTGACCTCCTGATTTTTAAAGAATATATATATATATATATATATATGTATGTATGTATGTATGTGTGTGTGTGTGTGTGTGTGTGTGTGTGTTTGTGTGTAAAGGGAAGCAGGTCACTAACACACAAAAAAGAGAATGTCTCATATCGAGAATATTCAACATCGAAGAACATAAGAAAAAATTAATTATTTTTAATAATATGTCGAAATCTCCACGCTTTGCCTGAAGGTCGCGAGACCGGAAACACGTGTAGAAAAATTATGGAAAATAAAGCATAATATATTTTTTTTTAAATCCACATTACAACCTAAAACGTTTGCGGTACCTCTCTTTTATATATATATATATATATATATATATACTCTGTCAGTAATAGAGTATTTTGTCTGGTCCTGACGAACGACAATAACAGGAAACATTTAGTCGGTCACAGATAGGTATTGTGAAAATTTAATTATTACTATTATTATTATTAATTTATGTAGTTATCTATTGAACATTCTTATTGCCCAAATCCTTCTAACCTTGACATACATTAAGTTACATAAATTTGCCTTTGTTGATAGATGTTATACGTGTGTGTGTGTGTGTGATATGCTAAGATAAAGAACAAATAGGAAATGTTTATCAATCTAACATATTTTACTTTTATTAAAGATTTATGTATATAAGTATATAATAATTCAAATCAATATGCAAAAAACAACCAAACGTAATGTCTACTAGAAATACACACACACATACGCAAAACGCGCACACACACACTTACGAATATACATTTGAATAACGTATAGAGAAACTAGAATTATTATACATTTCCATACATAAAGCAATATTTATGGTTTTTCAGTTAGACTTGTAATCCGTTTAATTTCTTGGAACTTCGAAAGAACGCGTCGTCTCTCCTTGAATTCGGATCGCCACAAATTAAACTAAAGTTTGGTAAACAAGCCGAAGGCCCATGGAATATGGTTAACCAATGAAAATCAAACAACACAAAAGTAAAAATACGAGAATTTCCTTCTTTTTTTCTCCATATCTCATTCTCTAGTGAAGCTTTAATAAAAGTGAAACATTTTAGATTGATAAACGTTTTCCAGTTTGTTCTTTATCCTATCATTCTGTCGGTTCTCGATTCCAACTCATATATATATATATATATATATATATATATATATATATATATATATAAAAGTGTAAATAGTCGTTTTTTACATGTAGGTTTACAATATACTTTGAATTCTAATTTATTATTATTTTTAATGAGTAGTATGTCTAAAAAAGGTAAAGAATTATTAGACTCAAGTTCATAGGTAAATTCTATAGTAGGTTCTATTTTATTTAATCTATCAGTAATCTC